AACCAGCAGCAAACCCGGGGAGGGCCGAGCAGACGAAAGAACAGCACAGGGTCCAGTGTCGTTCCTCCACGAAGAGGGGGAGCAACACTTAATGGTTTCTTTTATCAATGTTTGATAATTTTCATTGTAGAGACCTTTCACTTCTTTGGTTAAATTTACTCCTAAATGTTTGATATTTTTTATGGCTATTGTGAATGGGGTGTCTTTCCTGGTTTCTCTTTGAATGGGCTCATTAGCATATTAAAAAGCTGTATTTTGTTTATTTTGTAACCTGCAACTTTACTGAGTTGGTTTATCAATTCTAACAGCTTTTTGGTGTTATTTTTTTAAAGATTGATTTTATATATTTGAAGGGCAGAGTTACAAAAACAGAGTGGGGGAGGGGTGAGATAAAAAGAGAGAGATCTTTGATCCACTGATTCACTCCCCAGATGGCAGCAACACCCAGAGCTGGGTCAGCCTGAAGCCAGGAGCTTCTTCTATATGTTCTATGTAAGTGCTTGAGCCCGACCAAGCACTTGGGTCGGGCTCAAGCACTTGGGTCATCCATCTTCTACTGCTTTCCCAAGCGCATTAGCAGAGAGCTAGATCAGACATGGAGCAGCTGGGACTCAAACAGGCACCCATATGGAATGCTGGTGCTGCAGCTGGAATGCTGGTGGCTTGACCCGCTATGCCACAGTGCTGCGCACCCCTCCCCCAGTTTTTCTTTTGAAAGATTTATGCATTTGAAAGGCAGTTACAGAGAGAGGGAAAGAGGGAGAGTGGTGGAGTGTTTAGGTTTTTCCATGTACAGCATCAAGTCATGTGCAAACATGGATAATTTGAGTTGTTCTTTTCCACTTTTGATGCCCTTCATTGCTTTCTCCTTAGTAATCATTCTTGATTTCTGCTTCAGTGTTGTTGCTTGTTACGGGTCTGTTCAGATTGTCCGTATCTTCTTGATTTAATCTTTGTAGGTTATATGTATCCAGGAATTTATCTGTTTCCTCAAGTTTTTCCAGTTTATTAGCATATAGTTCTTCATAGAAGTTTCTTAGGCTCCTTTGTATTTCAGTGGTATTGGTTGTAATGCCTCCTTTTTGTCTGTAATTTTATTTGAGTTTTTTTTTTCTCTTTTATTGTTAATCTAGTTAGTGAGTTATCTATTTTGTTGGTCTTCTTAGAAAACAAAATTTTTGTTGATCTTTTGTATTTTTGTAAGTTGCAATTTCATTTATTTCAGCTCTGTTCATTATTATTGCTCGCCTCTTGCTGATACTAGGTTTGGTTTATTCTTGTTTTTCTAAGTCTTTGAGGTGCGTCATTAGATCTTATTTGAGGTGTTTGTCTTTTTTCAACTTAAGCTCTTCATGCTATAAACTTCCCTCTTAATACTGCCTTTGCTGTATTCCACAGGTTCTATATGTTGTGTTTTCATTTTCATTTATATCAAGAAGGTTTCTGATTTTTGTTTTAATTTCTTCAATGACCCATTGGCTCAGTAGCCTGTTGTTTGATTTCCAGATATTTAGGAGTGTTCTATTTTTCTTCATGTTCTTGATTTCTAGCTTTGTTTCTCAGTGGTCTGAGAAGATACATGATAGGATGTCAGTCTTTTTAAATTTGCTGAGACTTGAATTCTGCTCTAAAGTGCAGTCTGTCCTGGGAGATGTTCCACATGCTAATGAGGAGAATGAGGTGTAATCTGACACAGGACGCCCTTCACAATTTTTTGTGAGGCTGTTCTGGTGGTGGTGAATTCTCTCAGCTTTTACTTATCTGGAAAATACCTTATTTCTCTTTCACTTAAAAGGACAGTTTCACTGGGTATAACATTGGTCAGAAGTGTTTTTTCTTCTAAGACCTTGAAAGAGACGTCTGGTGTTAATCTGATTTTCCTTTGCATGTCACTTGGTGCTTTTCTCTTACTGTCCTATGAAAACATTTGTATCGGGAAAGGTAATTAAAACACAGTAAAGTAAACTCTCTTGCTTTGCTTATATAAGAGAGGTGTAACAGAGACATTTGTCTCGCTTGGTTTCTTTAAAGAGGTTTTAATACCCTTAAGCACTGGGCGTATCACTCCCTTTCCCTCTCCTTAGTAGAAGGCATTGAATTGGACTTAGCAGGTTTGAAGGACTGAGCAGTTGAAGTTGTCTTCCAAGGCTCCCTTAAGAAACCTAGGTCCTTAAGGATATCCACACATTTCTTTTTGTTGTTGCATTTCCCTCTGAATCTCTTTATCTCAGTGTTTCTTTGTGAAATTGCATTGTGGGGTTTAAGAGCCGGTGATAATGTGCACAGTATTATGTGAGCATCCGGGGCCTGAATAGGATTCTGCTACTCTGTTGCGATACTTTGTGAAGCACTCAATGCAGTCCTTGTGTCTTGATCTCTAATCTCTGCAAAGAAAGGTGGTGAGAGGTGTGGAGAAATGCAACATAAAGGCGCTCAATTTTAGAACTTTCTGTTTTTATTTCCTAGTTTGTATTTAGCGTCTACCTTTTCAAATCACTTTCCTTTAGATGATCAGCACTATGGGACATTTTAAACATTTTTTAAAACTCTTTAAGAAGGAGCATCATTTGGATGGACTTTTTTTTTTTTTTTTTTTTTTTTTTTTTTTTTTTTTGCAGCCATAAACATTCACTTATGTAACAGATTCGGCTGTTAAAGTGAACATCTAAGGAGAAGAGGCCATGCATTTGCATTTGGGCCAGTGCGTCTGTCTCGCCCTTTGCTTAAGTCTTCCCAAAGAGAAGGTCTTCTCTTTGGGGTGATAAATGGTTCGGTCCGGGCCGGCACCGCGGCTCACTAGGCTAATCTTCCGCCTTGTGGCGCCGGCACACCGGGTTCTAGTCCCAGTCGGGGCGCCGGATTCTGTCCCGGTTGCCCCTCTTCCAGGCCAGCTCTCTGCTGTGGCCCGGGAGTGCAGTGGAGGATGGCCCAAGTGCTTGGGCCCTGCACCTGCATGGGAGACCAGGAGAAGCACCTGGCTCCTGCCATTGGATCAGTGCGGTGAGCCGGCCGCAGCGCACCAGCCACAGCAGCCATTGGAGGGTGAACCAATGGCAAAAGTAAGACCTTTCTCTCTGTCTCTCTCTCTCACTGTCCACTCTGCCTGTCAAAAAAAAAAAAAAAAAAAAAAAAAGGTTCGGTCGGAAGGATTTGCTGTGCAAGGCGTCCGCAGAGCTAAGTCATCCAGGAAAGCAACCATGTAAAATGCGGCCTTGGAGTCTGGGCTGGTTATTTGCTGTTCAGGAGAGGCAGGAAGCTTCGGTGCGGGCAGGTGACTGCTTTCGTGCCGTAAAGCACTTGTTGAGTGCTTACTGTGTGCAAGATACGTTCTTAGGTGCCATCGAGTGGTACAGGTAAATAATCTGTTGTAATCAACACTGCAGTGGCATAAATTGAGGCTGAAGATGTGTCGTTTAATTGAGGTTAAATGCTGCTGTGTGGATGAGCAGAGGAAGCAGTGGTGATGTATGGGTGTAATTATCACAGGCCTAAGTATGAAAAGTACTGAAGTGCAAAACACTTGCAGGAAGATTTCCATGCTGCAGGCTAAAGAAATTCACGGAGTCAGTCAGTCACGCCGTGTTTACGTTCACATCTTAATGTCTCTGTCCTCGCTCACATAGTGTTAGTGTACACACTCTGTAGGGGAAGGTCATTGCTTAGCACCTGTGACAGTGATATTTTTCTTTTATTGTTTTTGAAGTTGAATTGAAATTGCTTGGGAAACTGGACTCATTCCATAAGCTTTATCTCTGGGTTGTTTTAGGCTGCTGTATTGTGGGTGTAACATAGCTTTCAAGGGGGGGCTGTTTTGAAAACGACAAGGAATTTCAGAAAGCCCACAGAAAATGGAATTAAACGTTACTTATTTCAGTGCAAAAGTTTTTTTTTTTAATCCATGCATGAAGGGACGTTCACAAAAAGTTCTTGAGGAACGTGCAGAATGAAGAAATGACACTTGGATTTCTAACTTTTCTTGCACTAAAATGGACCTCATTTAATTCCACTTGCTGTGAAGTTCTTTGAAATGTCTGCTTGTATTGATCAGGGCCCTTCCATGAGCTAGAACGTTTCTGTGAGCCTGCTTTGTACTGTACCTGGAGTTGGCCTGGCCCTGTCATCCGGAAGCCAGCAGGGAGCTGGAGCCACTGGAGGACATCCTGAGTCCTGGAGGCCTGCAAGTTTCTATCTGCAAGGGACCTTGAAGTTCCTCTCATTTGACCTTTTAGTTAAAACTGACTGAGAGAGGGCACTAGTAGTTTTGAGAGCTCTTGGGTGTTGGTATGCCTGTGCTCATATTGCTGGATCCTTTGTTTGTTTTCTCTGATGGATATAAAAGACTGTGCTTATTTGCTGTGTAGATTGTAACCAGTCATTAATAAGCCTTGAGGGAAGATGGCTCCTAACTGATCACAGGGGTGCAGCTTTTTCCTGTTCCTGTCCTTCCCAGTAGGATATGGGCTTCTGACCGGCTTTTTCTGCAGTGAGTCTGCTCCTCACGTACTGATGGTCAACATGGCGTTTGGTGGCAAAGGGAAATGCAGAAATAACTCTGAAGAAAGAAAGTTGGGCCCTTAATTTAATGAAAAATAGTAGCTTAAGCAGATGTCAGAGTGTTATCTGAGCCCTACTGTATACTGAAAAATACAGAATCACACTTGTTAGTTTTGGATAGGGTGGTCATTATGGTGTTTTCCCTGATGTCTGATTTAGAATATGTGTATGTAATTTTGGTGACTTTTGCCCATTCTTTTTCATTGTAATTTGTCTGCAAGATGGATAAATACTGGGTTTTTATTATTTTTTCAATTTTTAGTACAGCATAGAATTATCCTTTGTTTTGGAGGCACACTCAAAACCACACATATATCATTAAAAGAAATTTTTAATTCTAGTTTAACATTAGATAGTGCTGTGGTCAACATAGACAGAGGAGTGTGATCTCATACCCAGTGTTGCTAAGTCCAAACATTGCAGTAAATCTGGATTTCTTGTTGCAGGTACATGTTGGGCCTGGCAGCCATCCCAGCTGTGTTACAGTTTTTTGGCTTTCTCTTTTTGCCTGAAAGTCCTCGATGGCTCATTCAGAAAGGACAGACCCAAAAGGCTCGTAGGATTTTATCTCAGATGCGTGGTAACCAGACCATCGACGAGGAATACGATAGCATCAAAAACAACATCGAAGAAGAGGAAAAGGAGGTCGGCTCAGGTATGTGGACTTCATACTTGTGTGAATTTTTAAAGTATCTATTGATTTTACTTGGAAATTGTATTCCTTGAGTATTATTTAATATCACTAAATTGCATGATGGTTTTATATTTATAAATGAATCAAAGTAATATATTTTAACTTTTAAAAGTAATCTAATAGTACTGTGAAGAAATACCTGAGTAATATCCCTTTCATGCAGCTATCCTCACGTGGTTATGATTTTCGTATTTCTGTAGTGTTTTTCACTGTTTCTGAGTTGGGTATATTTGACATTGTTGTCATCTTATATGTGTGCTTTTATTTTTCTGCATTTGTTTGCATATACATACTTTAAATACATAAATACATGTGCTATTGACTTTCCATATTAGTATAAAAGGGTTATAGTGGTAATATTGTCAAAATAAACACCCTTTGTTAAAAAAATTAAATACCTTACTTGCATGTGCTACATTCATTTCCATACTAAGTTTTCTGAAGAATATTAACACGTTAGCGAACAAATTTCAGAACGACGGTATGTTCCTCTGTTATTAAAATGTTTAATTATACATCTAATCCTACATTTAGTCATATTAGAAAACCAATTAAAGCTTACAGTGCCTACAGGAAATGATACTGAGATTTACAGGAAATTCTCAAGCAAGATCTGTAATCTTGACTTTCTGTATTAAGATTCTCTCAGGAGACAGACTTGACAGGAAATGCACGTAGTATGTGAAGGAGAACTCATTAAGGGGTTTGGCTCGTGGGATGTGACAGCCAGCAAGTCCCGCGCAGGTCGTCTGCAGCCTGGAGAGCCTGGGAGGCCGGCACTGTGGCACAGTCCTAGCCTCAGGGCCCCACAAACAGAAGCACAGGACTTGGGGCTCAGTTCTGGGCCCAAAGGCCTGAGTGTCAGCCAGGGGGCCATGGCGAAGTCCTGGAGGGCACGGGCCTGCAGCCGACACCCAGGCGGGAGGCAGACATGTTCCAGCTCTGTCTCCAGCAAAGCCCAGAATGGCTTTCCTGTGGAGTCTGTCCACACCCTCAGCCCAGGCATGGTGCACGCCCGCGTGGAGGCCAGGTCTGCCTGCGTGGTCCACCCAGACTCACACGCGTGCCTCCTTGTGACACGCCCACCACAGTGCTTTGCTTTGCAGATTCCTGGGCATTCTGAATCTGGGCAGGTTGACACCCGAAACGAACTGCCACACCTTCTGATTTAGACAAGCAGTTTGTAGGATGTCAATGGGAAAAGGAACAACTTTCCAAATACATTGTCTCAGTACAGTTCGCCTGCCCTGTTCGGAATTTCCAAATTTGTCTGGTTTTGTCCCGGCCTCCTCTTTGGTGTTGATGGGCAGCTCAGTGGTGACCCTGCTTCACATTCATCACACTGTTGGTCGCACAGGAGACGGGCTCCACACAGTCCTTCCCTTGTTGATCCATGTAACCCACAGGGCTAGATCTGCTCACGTGTGTTCCCCTAACACCAGTGGGACTGACTGAGTCACCCTCCTGGAACAGAGGGGTGAGCACACTGGCATGGCCCAACCTAATACATGCATCCGTGGACCATAGCAGACCACGACCACTACCTTCCTGTGCAGACCAAAGTTCCAGTGAGCCACGAGCCGCTTCTTAGGGAACGTCATTTTTTAACACTTTGGCCACGCACCTGCTGTGCGTCTGGCATTGCCCAGAGTTACACATCTGTGCAAAGGCTAAGGAGAATTTGACTTAAACAAAGTAGTCTGCCTTGACTGAGTTCAGCAGTGTTCATGCTTTCTGGGTGGTGAGCAGGGCAGTTGTGGGCAGTGACTTCAGGCCTGAGAGGCATGGACTGTGGAGTGCAGGTGCATGGAGGGAGGGGCTCCAGCAGGACACCCCAGGTGTTCAGGTGTCCCAGCAGGTGAGAGAGGAGTTGTGCAGACACCTTTCCCGTAAGGACAAGTTCTAGCTGCCTCTCACCTGTGAGCTTGCCGATGAGCAGGCTTTCTTCCATGTCCATAAGCCGTGTGCTGCCATCGGCCTTTCCCAGTGGGTTGGTGAGTTGTGATGGTTACGGTGCTTGTTTCATGGTCTGTTTTCCTGGAATTTTTTTTTCTTGGTCATTTGAGTTTGAATTGGAGCTCCTTGGGGATAACGAGCATAGCTTCACAGGTGTTAGCTGTACTGTGTTCGAGCCTGTGAGATGTCAGTGTTTACGGCATTTACTTCTCACGGTTGAGATGGCCTTGAGGGGGTCAGTGTGGCCGTTGCTCTGGGCGTGTCTGCTGCAGAGGGAACAGGCCACACCGGGTGGCAGGATTGGGCTGTAGTGGACTCCATGCATGGCTTCTGCTTGGACCAGGGAGTCAGAATCCTCCTCAGAGCACAGTGTTTCCTGTGGTTTCTCCTCCGTAAGGCAGGTTCTGGGAGAAGAAGCAGACACTTGATGACCACATGTGCTCAGCCGTGGTTTGTACATCCGGTAGGGATGATAACAGCCGCCCAAGGGGGCACCCTCTGTGGAGCAGAAGACAGGGTGCAGGAATCAAGTCCTGGTTCCACTCTGTAGGGCCCTCCTACAAGGGTGTTTCGAGGGAGGTTGAGCCACAGTTCCTTTTGAGTTGTGTCAGAAAAGAGAACCAGATGATAGCAGCCCTAATGTCTGAATTTTTTTAGAATTTAAAAAATGTGTATGAGAAATTTCTGTTTATTTATTTTTTTTTTTTAGATTTATTTTTTTTATTTGAAAGAGTTACAGAGAGAGGTAGAGACAGAGAGAGAGGTCTTCCATCTGCTGGTTCACTCCCCAGATGGCTGCAATGGCCAGAGCTGCGCCGATCTGAAGCCAGGAACCAGGAGCTTCTTCTGGATCTCCCATGTGGGTGCAGGGGCCCAAGGACTTGGGCCATCTTCTGCTGCTTTCCCAGGCCACAGCAGAGAGCTGGATCAGAAGAGGAGCAGCTGAGACTAGAACTGACAGCCATAGTGGATGCCGGTGCTTCAGGCCAGGGCTTTAACCCGCTGTGCCACAGCACTGGCTCTGAAATTTCTGTTTATGTCTAAGTGCTGGGCAGCAGATTTGTCTTAAAAGCGTTTGTTGGGTGTCACTTCCTGGAGACAGAGATGTGGCAGTAATTGCCAGAAGGCTGCCAGCTCTGGCAGTTGCTTCAGTGGGAATGTGAAGAGAGACCATGTTTGAGGGGAAGGTGGGGAAGGCGTCTCTGAGTGGTGAATGTGAAGGGTGAGGAGGAATCAGCAATGGAGAGATCTGCAGGAGGAACATTCTGGGCAGAGGCCAGCAGGTGCCCGGTAGTGTGTTCTGTTAAGTGGCCCAGGCCAGTGTTTCTGTTGGTTTAGATAACAGCTGTCAGATGTACTACTACACTGAGTAAGGAAGGGAGACTTCTGCTTAGAATTGTACCGATGAAACACATGAAATCTGTTCTCTATATTAACAAAAATTTTAGAAAATGTGCTACTAGGTTTTAGAAATGTTCCCAAAGGATCTAATAATACCTCTTTATCCTAGGGTTTGCAAACCAGAATTTTGAATTAGTAGACACTAATTTGGGAATTGAAAGCACATTGGAGTACAAGTAACATCAATGTGATGCCCATCGTTTTTCGTGTTTCTTAGTTTTTGGTCTCCTGGATTATTTCCTGTTGCGTAGACATGTAAGGTGGTCGTGATTTGTGGGGACAACACAGCAGGACACCTTGGTGATGAAGGCCGTGATTGGCAGCTTTTCCCTTAGCTTCAAAGAGGAGCAGCAGGTGGCAGGGCCTTGGGTGCTGGGGCCAGGGCAGGGGAAGGTAGCCAAACAGAAACTTTACTTGAATTGTTCTGCTTTATTCTAGAAACTCACAGAAGCCAACATCCTTTTTCATAATATAGTTGCTTTATTTGACTGCATGTGTGGTTTTTTTCTCCTGAGTTTCTAGTGTGTGTGTGGAGGCATTATACACCCCAGCCGTCTGCTGTGTTAACACCTTACGGTCTGCACTGCTGTTTGAGAGACATGAACTTGGAATTTGCAGTTCTGCTCTGATGTTAATATACCTGTATGGGTAGACAGATGCATGATCATCTCTCTCTCTTTTTTTTTTAAAAGATTTACTTATTTATTTGAAAGTCAGAGTTACACAGAGAGAGGAGAGGCAGAGAGAGAGAGAGAGAGAGATAGAGAAGTCTTCGATCTGATGGTTCACTCCCCACTTGGCCGCAACAGCCAGAGCTGTGCAGATCTGAAGCCAGGAGCCGGGAGCTTCTTCCCAGTCTCCCACGTGAGTGCAGGAACCCAAGGACTTGGGCCATCCTCTACTTCTTCCCCAGGCCATAGCAGAGAGCTGGATGGAAAGTGGAGCAGCTGGGTCTTGAACTGGGATCCCGGCGCTTCATGCCAGGATGTTAACCTGCTGAATGAACCACAGCACTGGCCCCTGATCATCTCTTAATTTACTGGAAATGTGCCAAGACATTCCCTTTTTTTTTTTTTAAATTTATCTTACTTATTTGGAAATGCAAAGAGATAAGGAGAGACAAAATAAAGAAAGAAAGTGAGAGAGAGAGATTGTCCATCTGCTGGTTCACTCCTTACATGGCTGCCATGGTGGGGGCTGGGCCATACTGAAACCAACCAAGAGCCTGAACTGGATTATAATCGCCTAGGTGGGCAGGGGTCCAAGCATTCAGGCCACTGCTGCTTTGCCAGGTACATTAGCAAGGAGCTGGATCAGAAGTGAAGCAACCAGGACTCAAAACTGCATTTTCTGATAGTGGAAACAGTGATGCCAAGGGCTTAACCCACTGCACCACACTGCTGGCCCCAGTAACGGGGTGTTTTGCCAGAACTTTTGTTCTTAACAGTTAGCAGTTGTCTCCCACAGCAGGGAAGTAAAATCACCCAACTCAAGCAGGCCTGGGAAGAATCTCATAATGGGAGGTATGTGTTCATCGGGCTCACGTATTCTTGATGGTGCCCGGTTGATTTCTCAGTCCTGTGTCCTGCACAGAGAACAGACTG